TCTCATGCAGATCCGCATTCGCTCTTTCTGGGATGTCAATAACGCCGTCATCGGCCTTCTCTACTCCCTGATCTGCGCCGCCGTCTTCCAGGTCTTCATCAAGTTCCTCATCGGCGGTCTGCGCCCTCACTTCCTCGAGGCCTGCCAGCCCGACCTGTCCCGTGTGACTAGCAGTCAGGGCGGCATCGCCCAGACTGGCTACAGCGCCGCCGGATTCCAGAGCTTGTACGTCACCAAGGAGGTTTGCACCGGTGACATGAAGGAGATCAACGACTCCCTCGAGAGTTTCCCCAGTGGACACACCACCGCTGCTTTTGCCGGCTTCGGCTATCTCTACTTGTACCTCAACGCCAAGTTCAAGGTCTTTTCCGACTACCACCCCGCCATGTGGAAGCTGATCATCACCTACATCCCCATCCTCGGCGCCGTCCTCATCGGCGGTGCGCTCACTATTGACGAGTTCCACAATTGGTACGACATCTTCGCCGGTGCCGCCATCGGAATTACCTTTGCCTTCTCCTCCTACCGCATGACCTATGCTGCGATCTGGGATTTCCGCTTCAACCACATCCCCCTGAACCGCGGCCAGGCCCTCAACTATGGCGCTGAGGCTGAGTTGTACGATGCTGTCTTCACCCGCAAGGCCGGCTGGGGCAAGCGCGGTGGTGGTGGTATCCTGCACCACGAGAAGCACCACGGCCACGGTCATGGTGCGTCCACTGGCATGCACGGCACCACTGGCGCCGGTGTAAACGACTACGGCGAGCCCATTGGATCCCGCAAGCCTGTCGGCTCCGGATCCCGCCACCCTGACGCGATGGTTTAATTGTTTGCAGTCATGTATGCCTTAATGGCAGCGGTGTTTAGACCGTGATTACCGGTCCGGAGATTATCGTCTCCGCAGAAGTTCTGCCGGAGCCTTGGAGTCTGAGAGTTATGAGTAACGGCCTCGCTGAAGAAGCTACAATACCCTACAGCACAAGCTTGTATATTAGTCTATACCCGGTGTTTACACCTAATTGGAGTTGTAATACTTTGAAAACATATTAATTTAATCAAGCCACTGTCTCTTGCGCTATCGTCGTAAGTAGTTCAGTGTCATGAGGTCAATAACTGTCCCTCAATTTTATATCAGCTGCCGTTGTTGAACGCTCCGAGATAGTAGGCAAGCCAAAACCATTTGTTCAAACTCTGAATCCTTCCTAAGGCACTCTGATATAATCAGTACATCGATCATGTCCATAGGACCTAGTTCCAAAAGCCTATCTTAGTCGGCAAGGCACACTGCACGCCAATCGCTCAGTAACTATTTATCACATCTTGCGTCTTGGTCAGATTCGCGTAATAACCCGCGCGGCAGGCCACGCCTCCATGAATCCTACAGCCTTGCCCAAAACACCACTACGAGTTCAGAGATACCTGCCAATTAAACCCTTTACTTCTGTATCGAATGGGTAGCTTATCCTTCCTTGAGTGTTCACTATGATTCTAATCTGCATGTGATCAGAAACTCTTCGCCCAACGCTAGACTTTCTCAAGGCGTTGAAATGACTGGAGACTTTTTTCTACTTCGTTGACTTACGTTTTGTGACGTGTCGAGAGGTAAGCTGCCCTGGCAATACAGTCCCAACACCCCCTTCTTCATGCCACGCCTCATAGGCTCGTTGCAAAAGGACACGGCATCCGGTCCTTTGCGGAGCTCCACGCGACCTTTTCTTCTCGCCCAGTGAGTTTGTGGCAATCGCGCAGAATGGTCCAGGTAGCACCCATCCTCCCAGCCTTATCTGAACATGTGAGAGCTGTCATCGTGTGAAGATCAACGAGTCACCAGGGAATGATCGCCTCGATGTGATTGAATGTAGGGGCTAGGATGCAGTTGATACTCGAAAGATGGCTGTAGATCCCTCGTTGGCCTCGCGTCATCTGGTGAGGGGGGTTCGAGTGCCAGTGAACAGCGCATAGCCTGATGGCAAGATCAGGCTGTGAGGCCGCCTGTACATTCGGACTTGGCGAAGAGGATGAGTCGTGGTTGGCATAGAGCTACCGGACTGTCTTGATCAATAGGGATTTGGAAAAAGAACATGTTGCATGTGCCATTCCCAGCCAAAGGTTCTGGGTATATAAACAGCCACAAAGTTCCGCCCAAGTCGTCGGACTAAACATCTTTTCTCAAACACGCCGACTACCACCTCCAAGCCAAACAAACTTGAATATCCCGTGCAAGCTACGCTGCAGACTTCTTCACTTAACCGAAAACCTTGACATCCATCCCCTTTACAACACTAAACCGCAATCATGACGAAAGGCTGCCCCGGTTGCAACCGCGAGATCAAAGACTCCCAGTCTTACTGCGCCTACGGATGTAGCCAGACGGCCTACTACGAGGACCGAGAGGCCGACCGCGAAGCCGAACGTGAAAAGGAGCGAGAGCAGGAGCGGCAGAAGTCGCAGCCGCTTGTCGTTGTTAATGTGAGCGGCGGCGGGAGTCAGCAGAGCAGTGAGACTAGCCGGGACACTGAGGCTAGTCGTCGTTACTACTGAGGCCTGGAGCTACAAGGTGGTGACCAAGGTTCAAAGCATTCTTGAAGGAGTGAGAACTACGATGGAGGGGATGATGAAGGCACTGTCGCTTTACATTATTCCTTTCTGAAGCTTGGATGCCTGGAATCCATCAAGGTTAAGACGAAGCGTCAAGGGCTATGTCTTACTTGAGAACAGTCTTTACTGCTCCTACATTCAACCTCTGCATAAGCATCATAAATCTCCTTTTGTCTGTCATTTCATAATGCCAACATGATTCTTCATCTCTTCCACAAAATCTGAAGACATAAATCATGCATCAGAATGTTGGTATGCCTGACCCTCGATGCAGCCAACCGATCCGTGCTGGTGAAATATGCGGGCTTAATCCCGCTTCACACCAATAACGCCAACCCGACGCATCCCAAACACGCATACGAGACAGACAAACATCATCCAGCCAAACATGGCCCAGAAGGCAACCCTGTAACCCACCATAAGGGCATCAGGCGACGATTTGTCAGCGTACGAAGAGGCATTGGTCGCAGACGAGGCAATGACCTGGGCCACGCTGAGTCCGAGGGCGGTTCCCAGCTGCGCGCATGTGTTGAAGACGGCGCCGCTGAGGGCCTGCATGCGTTTGGGGAAGACGTCGGAGACGATGAGAAGGCCTACTGTGAAGAGGATGTCGCAACTGATGGGGGTGAGGATCTTTGTGGGTGTATCTTAGTTACTGGAAACAAGACTGGAAAGATGAAGTCGTGTAGCATGTATGACGGTGAAATCAGTTTATAGTTGCGGGGAACCACTTTGCTTACCTGTGCGAAGAAGGCGTTCTCCCAATACACTTGGTTAGTCCGAATGAGAGCCATGAGAAGTGGCGCAACTGTGCTCATTGCTGATGAGATCAACAGCATCCACAAGACGGGCATACGGTGAACGAAGATGCCAGTTGCGATGCTCGTGAGAGCTCCAGCGGCGAGAGACGGGACGACTTGGACTGATGCCACCGTGGCTGACAAACCCTGTACCTGCTGGAAGCTGGTTTACTTTATTAGAGATTTCTTCTAAACAGCATCATTGTGACTTACAACAGACTGCTGTACAGCTCCATGCAGTTGGTGAGAGCGTTGGTAAGAAGCACCATGACACAGCAGCTGGTGAAGACGTAACTGCCCCAGAGCGAATTGGGGATGAGGGCCGTCTGGTTGTTCTTCACACGATGGTGCATCCATCCGATAAACGAGGGGATAGAGCAGCCCGCTGTGGCAAGAAGGGCAATGCTTGATGGGTTATGAATGTTGTTGATGTCGGCTGACAATGACCTGCGTCGGGTTAACCATTTCGCTCACTGACCTGTGCATGGATCAAATACTTACGCCAAGACGTATGACAATGTTGCCAGACCGGTGCTAACCAGGATTACTCCCACAGTATCAATGTCCTTGGCAAGTCGCTTCCAGATAGACTGTTCATTCCTTGGCTGAAGGTCGCGCGGCAATGCCCAGATGGCAACCAAGAACAGAGCCGCACTTGCAGCTGCAGCCAGGTAGAATGCCGGTCGCCACCCGACATTATCAGTAAATACACCACCCAGCACCAGTCCAAACAGGAAACCAAGCGGCTGAGAGAAGCCCATGCACGCGAACCCCATGTTGCGCGGCCGTCCCTCCTCCATATTGTTCGAGATGATGGAGATGGATGAGGGGGTGATCACAGCATACGCCACACCCTGAAGAGCCCGAAACGCAATCATCTGCCCACCAGTCTGCGCCAACCCGCACGCCATGGCGAATATGGCGCTGAAGAACGAGCCCGTCAGGTTCACGCGCTTATTTCCGACGACGTCGGCGATGGACCCGGCGAGCAGGAGACATGATCCGGCCGTGAGGAAGTAACTGGAGCTAGGCCAGACGAGAAGACCTTCGTCCAGGCCTAGATTGTGCTGCATCGCGGGAAGAGCGACGACGATGATACCGTTGCAAAAGCTGCTGAAGAAGAGCTGGCCGCAGACTTGGGCGATGACGATGCCAGCTCGGGTTTTGGATAGCTGGTTAGGGGCGGTTATCGCTGCCTCCTCTTCCGAGTCGATGGCTGTTAACCTGCCGGGGGTTTGCTGGAAGTTTGATGGCGCGTCATGGCTTTTCCGCAGTAAGGGGATGGGATTGGACGAGGCAGGTTCGAATGTCTGCAACTCAGTCGCAGTCGCAGTTTGCGTTGCCATATTTGCAGTGGACGTCGATGTTACTAGCCTGATTGGTAGTTGGAGTTGAGCACTACAACATCTCTTCTTGTCTGTGAACGAGCGCAGCTTCAGCAGTCTCGACGGAAATTGGTTGAGAGAAAAGTACGCGTACAATCTCAACGATGCCGAGTGAGTCAGGAGCCCTGGCAAGACTGTTACTAAAGTTCTTTTGCCGATAAGTCGAAGTGAGACGGTTGCCCTTAGAGGTTAGCACCGACAAGACGAAGGGCGCACACAAGACTGGGGACCGTCGTCTAATTGGCCCTGTAGGTCCACATACGTAATCAAGCGGGAGCAATCGCGGAAGAAAATCTGTGATAAAGGTTTGTGTTATTGAATCAGTTTCTTTTACACCACTTTTTTTTCAACCTCGATAGGTGTTTCAATGGCCAGGGTAGAGAGCTGAATGGTTCTGAATCATGGCTGTGAGTTGTCCCATGCTAATGTTGCGGAGACTGGAAGTGGGAATCAAGAGTGTAGAGCTTTAAGTTTTTGATATTTCACTAGGGTCTTGCACTCGGTTCCTGAGCCTTGATCTGTATTTTCTCTTTGTCTACCACTTTGTCGTATCAACATCCAAAATCAAACACCACATTACCCTTTGCCTCAAATACGTGGCTGAAGAGGGCTGAAAACTCGCGCTTCTCATCGACTCTGACGCGAACCAATCAATCAATTCGTCTCTCATAGATCCTGATCCAGTCTCCATCGGATGGTGAGCGTAATGGTGTTCCCAATTCGATTGCCCTGTCTCCAAGAAGAAATCGACGCAGCAGGAATAGTCGCGAGTCCTCCTTCACCCTCAAGCTGAATGGAGTTACGGTTGAGGGTTATAGCAGTGTTCCGATGACGCGCTTGGATCTGCATTTCGCTGTGTCCGGGCAGCATGTAGCTATCTCCAAGGTGGATTCCGAGAAAGGCTGATCCGTCAGCTCGGTTCCAGACGGAGGCTTCGATCTCTCCGTTGGGTGAGCGAGCGGTTTGCGTGCGGGGGTCTCCGGGGGCCGGGATGGTCAGCTCGAAGCTGTTCCATGTTGGTGCGTTGAAGAAGGGAACGCAGCCGACGGTGGGGCGGCACACGGATTGGCGAGGCCCAAGGGCGGCTGGGCCGTCTTGAGACAGGGGCAGAGGGCTTGCTGAGACCAGAGACAGGACCAGGGTGAGCACTGCAAGCGACATGGCCAAAAGATTCTTTTGAAGAGCCATTTCGAAAGCTTGAAGCATCCCGTGTTTTGTTGAGCGAAAAAGGGACTTTGCTATGTAAACAGAGAAAGGCTTTGAGTCTTTGAGAGTTGTGGTGCTGAGAAGAGACTCAGGTTGTCAAGGCGTAAAGGCGCAAGTCTTCAAATCTTGAAAGCAGTCATCTTATACTTCAGGAGAGTTGAGTTGATCGGATCCGTCGGATAACCAACACGATGTTGTAATTTCGGAATTTCTCCAGCATATTTGTTATGGCACTTGTTGTCGGCGATCAATTTCATATAATTTCATCCAAGTATCATGCGGCATTGTGAATCGTGGTTACTATGTTGGTTTATTCCACATAGAATGGTAATCTTTCGGGAAGTCCTTCTGGTTTAGGGAACTGGAGTTTCGGTTTGCTAAACTATGACTTTAGTTTAATAAAGGCAATTTGACAAGCCTTGGCTTGGTGTCGTAGACTCTATAGCAAAGTTTAATTTGACAGCTGTAATTTGCTAGCAGCTCTGCTTCAATGTTGGTCATATCGCTTCTAAAGTTCTAGCAATGCTGCGCCAGGTGAAGGCAATAGGTACATATAGCCAATGGAAATAGTTGGGCGTTACTTTCGTTTTTCCTGTAGAAAATGGTCAACACGCGCACTTTGTACCAACTTATTCTCTCAAGTGAACATCATTCAGTAATACCAAGACAACAGTGAGTCTTCTGCCACAGCAAGAAAGACCCCAATCCAGCTAATCATGCCTTATTCTCACATCAGTGAAACCATCAGCTCTTACTCTGCTACCAGCACTAGCCTCCGTGGCTATGGCAAAGCTCTGCCACATCAACTACCGCGACTGCTTCGGCCAAACCACCTTTCAAAATTTGCTGATGATCGCTTCGAGGCGTGTGCTACTCTTTCTGGCACTATCGACGGCATTTATGGTCGGGATATTCAGTGCAAAGACGTCCCTGAATGGATTCCGGCGCCGAGCTCAATCATAGTGGCTGGCGTTGAATGTTCATTTACTTGCTAATTCAATGGGGCGTCTCAAGTGTGAATGAGAATGATGTATCGGGGTTTACGGAGTTTTGTTTTTGTCAGTGAGCCTTTTATAGAGTTGATATCAAGGCGATTGAGCTAGCCTAAATCATAAACGACGAAACACCTACATTATGATGAGGTCTAAGTCCGAGGTTCAGCACAAACAGTTCAAGCGTAACACAAGCAATGTGGAAGTAGATCTCACGATCAAAGAGGAGAATTCCTACAAACACAACACTACCACATTTTACCCTCTGACCATCACCCTCATAACTTTTCCTCAGAGTCAGCAAGCTCAACCGCTCTCTCAAAATCCTTCAAAAACAGCCACTTCCCACTCTCCTTCCACCCCTTACCCTTCCAGCCACTCGCATCTGCCGGGTACACATCCACAACACCTACTAAACTGCTATCGTGCGATGCTACCACAAACACATCCGGACTGGCATCAAACTTCTGAATGGCACGCACGGTCTCCCTCGCCGCCTCCAAATCCAGAAACAGCCCCGCCTGGCCCTCGGGCACCTCAGGTATCGCGTGAAAAGGGATCCCATTCGCGTCGCTGCCCGCCTCACCCAGAATCTTGCTGTACGGTCCTAGGGCAGCAGAATTTCCAGCCACGGGGTGAACTGCGTGGAACGCCCTACCAGAACAACAGTGTCCCGGCAGCTGAATCTCCTCTGGCAACGTTGCGCCGTTGTGGGGTCTGAGGACGGAGCTGTGGTGGAAGGAGTCGCCCGCAAAGTACATGAAACTATCCTCCGTGGTACGAGCCAGGGCGTTGATATGCCCAATAGCGTGGCCCGGCGCAGAAAGCAGGTAGAAACTCCCGTCATTAAAGTAATCCAGCGCCTTGAGTCCCCCGATCTCAATCTCGGTGGAACTGAAATCCACCTCGCGCACTTCACGACCCTCAAACTCGCGAGCTAGGACAGGTGCGTCTGGGATGGTAGGGTATCCCGGGAAATACGCGTCCTTCACCCCCGGGCCGACGATCAGCGATGCCGTAGATGGAAAGAGTGACGGGCGGCCGATGTGATCCGGATGTGCATGACTATCCACAATATTAGCCATCACATTCTCAGCCTACTTTTGTTTTACGCGAAAAAAGCAAGTATGGTTCACGTACCTCCAGAAAAGCGCTTCAATCTCTCCCAAATCGAGACCGCCCTCTGTCAGAATCTCGGAGACATACTTTTGAGCAATCATCGTCCCGTCCAGATGCTTCCCCATCTCCAATACAGCTGGAGAGAAATCGTTGTCCCAGTCTTTTGGCAGACCTAGATCAAACACTACGCGTCTCGTCTTTCCAGTGGAGTCTTGGTGCGTCACCAGAAAGGCGTAGCCTACACCATACCACCTCTCGAAGCCGTTCATGGTAGGGCCCATAAAGGGCGCTGTGGGGAGGTCGCCATTGAGAGTCGTGTCGATGATGGAGACGGAGACGGTCGACTTTGAAGGAGGGATATTCAAGGATGAAGTTGCAGACATGTTTGCGGTAAGATTGTTAGTTCAACGACTCAAGGATGAGTGATGGACAGTTTATTTGTTACTCAGCGACGATACCGGGCATTTGGATATTTATATCTTGTCTCTAATCTCAGAGCCTCAGACCCAAGAGCTGCGTCATAGCGGCCGTATTCCTCTTCGTAAACTATTAGCCTCATTCAGACAAAGCTCCATTCCCGGGCCGAACGCCATGCAGTTGACAGCAACTACCGGCTGGTTCAATCTTATCGCTGCGGACGAATTCGGATGATAGAGCCTTACCGTCAGTGCTCACATGCACCAAAACTACGGGGACATGCGGGCTGACCAAGACGGTACATCCGTGGATCATCCGCGGTTCACACAAGAAAGTCCGCAATCCACGCCCAAAAACGTTATCCGTATCTGCGGCGTCGATCCCGTCAATCCCATTCGAGAAAAGGAAAACAAATCCAATGTGTGCCATGGAGCCGTGGAGATAATCGGAGATCCCCCATGATTACCCGGGTCAATTCACCTCGCCGGCCGTCAGCCACCGTTATTCAGTCGGGCCAACCCCGTGCCCGCTGACCGGTGACTGGCGCTGTCTCCGCCTCCGTGGCCACCGGTGTGACAATGTGGGGTGCCATCTCTGCCTTCGAAGTATGGGTGCTTGTCCACCACTCCTCTAGTGTTTTCCTGTCGTGATTCCCTGTCTTAAGACGAGAAGAGAACAGAAAGCATTCGCTTTTTTAAGGGTCGCGATTGTTTTTCACATGACTCTGAAAGCGTCTTAAGATGCAAGATATTCATGTAAGATGCCATGTAGTTGCCGCCAACGCTCAGTTGCGAACCAACATGTATTCACTTTGGAAGGACGAAATTTGTTTTAAATCATTATTACTAAAGCTTGTCATAGTCGTGACGATCTAGTGATCCATCAAGACGCAGATCCATAATGTCATGCGAAACCCATCTCAAGGATAACAAGATAATCAACCTCCACCTGAAAAGCGGCCTACCTCTTTCCTCCGCTGACTTGGCCGTCAAATCATGGATTTTGCGCTGTGCAACAAATCCTCTTCGTGATAGTGGTATCATTAACTCTTTGCGAATCAAATCACAGAAAAACAATAAAATTGAGAATGCCGCTCAGACTTCACCGCCGGCCATCCGGCCCTTCTCGTCATTGCTGTTGTTCGGGGAAGCATCAGCGGTGTGGGTATCGCCCGAGAGGTTGGTGTTGGTGCGGTGCTGGGAGCGGCTACGGCGGCCAGTCGACTCGCCAGTATCCTTGCGGCCGAAAGAGTGCCAACTCTTGAAAGAGCTGAATGTGATGGTCTTCTTGAAGTCGCGACCCTCGTCTTCGCCACCCTGGCTGAAGGCACCGCGGACAACCTGGTGATCGTCGAGGAGGTTGAAGGTGCGCTTGACGAATTTCCAAGCCTCGACACCAACGACGTACAGGAGAGTGAATCCGACGACAATGCCCCACTCCCAGGTGATTCCAATGTGCTTGAAGAGGGTGGTGTTGAGAGTCGGGATGTAGATGACGGGGAAGACGGACAGGGCACCAATGATGACGGCCCAAAACAGGAACTTGTTGTCGTAAATGTCCTTGAAGAACGGGAACTTGCTCTTGCTGTCGGGGTTGAGACGGAACATGGAGCGACGAAGGTTCTTGAACTCCCAGGCAGAAATGAGAATGATCCAGGTGAGCTCGGCAAAGACAGCAGCGCGGGCACGGAAGACGGGTCTGCATGCCTCGGTGAAGGTCTTGTTGCACTCGGAACCCAGGTTTCCGCCGTTGGCTCCGTAGACGACGATGATGAAAGTTGCCAATGTTAAGGCACCCATGATGATACCGTACACAATCATGTCGATGATGATTTGGTTGGTGAAGACACCGCGCTTCTTGTTCTGAGGGGGCTTGCGCATAACATCGGAGGCGGCCTGCTCACGACCAAGGCCAAAGGCGGGGAAGGACGAGGTGACCATGTTGATCCAGAGAATCTCGAGAGGAGAAATTGGGAAGACTGACAGATCGGCACCATCGCGAAAAGCAAGACCACAGCACAGAAGGATAACCTCGCCAACATTGGAGCTGAGAAGGTGGAGAATGAACTTCTGAATGTTGTCAAACATGCGACGGCCCTGGCGAATCGCGGAAACAATGGAGTTGAACTTGTCATCCGTGAGAACAATCTTGGAGGCCGACTTGGCAACATCGGATCCGGAGCCCATGGCGATACCGACGTCAGCACGAGCCAATGAGGGGGCATCGTTGACACCATCGCCAGTCATGGCCATGAAGGCATTGCGGCGACGGAGAGCATCGATCATGCGGGTCTTGGTATCGGGAGCACAGCGGGCAATGACCAAAGGAAGCTCGGGCATGGCGTCAATCTCAGCGTCGGTCATCTTGTCAAAATCCGTAGCCTTCTGCACAACCGCTCTGGCAACTTCGTCGGGGAGAACACCCAGGTTCTTGGGGATGATGCCAACTTCCTTGGCGATAGCCTTGGCTGTCTCGGGATGGTCACCAGTGAGCATGTGGACCTTGATGCCAGCAGATGAACATTCAGCGATGGACGGCTTGGTCTCGCGGCGGGGAGGGTCGTAAATTCCGGCAAGACCCAGTAGAGTGAGGCCCTGCTCAACTTCAGTTCGCAGAGCATCTTCTTTCTCTTGGGCGACGTCAGCCTGCTTGGTGGTGAACTTGCCATTCCAGTCGCGGCAGCCAATGGCGAGCACTCGCTGGCCCTGGGAGGCCAGCTCGTTCATCTGGTTGAGAACATCTTCCTTCAAGGCGTCGGTGAGCTCCTGTCTGTCATCGCCGAAGCCAATGTGTGTGCAAAGATCCAGGATGCGCTCGACGGCGCCCTTGGTGAAGACCAAACTGTTCTCGGGACCCCAGATATCGGCAGTCTCGTCGTTCGCGGGAATGTCGTAGACGACGGACATACGCTTGATGGAGCTGTCGAAGGGGAATTCAGCAAGCTGCTTCCAGCCAAGACCTTCGAGGGACTTCTTTCCGAGCTTGAAGCGGTGCGAGAAGATTTGAAGGGCAATTTCCGTAGGCTCTCCAGTGGTTTGCCATTTGGCTTCCTCTTCGTCGTATCGTACAGTGGCCAGGTTGCAAAGAGCGGAAGACAGGAGGAAAGCCTTGAGGCGTGGAGTCATCTCGGCCTCGTTCTCGGCCTCGGGCGCCTTAGCAGGCTGCTTGTTTTGGAGCTTCTCTTCAGGGACGTCGAACTTGAGAACAGCGGCGGATCTCTCCTGATCGTAATCGCGTTTGGGAGCCTCATCAACAACCTTCTCCTGCTCCTTGGATTCAGAGTGGGTAACGCGGCCCTTGGTAGGGTCGTTGGGGCTCTGAGAGTCGCGGACGGTGTATGTGTGTGAGAATGGAAGCCAGGCCTTGCGGACGATCATAGCACCCTGTGTAAGGGTTCCAGTCTTATCGGAACAGATGTTGGTAACGCCACCAAGGGCCTCGAGGGCAGAAAGGTCTCGGACGACGACGTTGGACTTTCGCATGACGGTCACGGCGACAACCATGGTGATTGTGAGGACGCTGAAAGACGTTAGTTGGAGTTGGGGATACCGACGTGGTTATCAACACTTACGCGACGAGGGACTCGGGAATGATGGCAATGCCGAGGGAAACGGCATAGATGATAACTTCACCAGTGACATCGAACTTGTGGGCGGCGAAAACAATGATGGCCAAGATGATGGCGCAGCCGAAAAGCAGGTAAGCCAGCGCAGCCAGCTTCTTCTGCAGAGGTGTACCCTCAGTAAGACCCAGGAATTTGCCGACAGCATCATAGACACGTCTGGAAAGACCAACAACAGGCTGACGCTTGCCGTACTTCTTGTAGTTCATGGAGCGACCAGGCTTGCGAGTCTTCTTCTGTGTGGATGCGGCAATCTTTCCAACTTCAGTTTGCATGCCGGTAGCAACCACAATACCACGACCACGGCCCTTGCGAACAATAGTAGTGGCGTATGCGATGTTGAGACGATCACCGATGCCAACCTCGCCCTCTTCGGTAGCTTTCTTCTCGGTGCCAGGGACCATGATGTTGGCTTCGGTAGTCTTGTCGACAGGTTGAGCTTCACCGGTAAGAGACTGCTCATCGCAGGACAGGTTCATAGCCTCGAACATGCGCATATCGGCGGGCACGGTATCGCCCATCTTGAGAAGGATGATGTCACCGGGAACAACTTCGGCGCTGTTGATATGGTTAGCATGTTTGCCAAGAGGAAATAAGGAAGGCGGCTAAGAGCCAAGGTAGCCAAGATGAGAGAAAGTGGGGTAATTGCGCGTTGACGCATTGCGCGTACTTACTTAGGGATGACTTTAGTCTTTCCGTCGCGGAGAACATTGGCAGAGGGAGCAGACAGAGTGCGGAGAGCGTCCATTTGCTTCTCAGCGCGGTACTCCTGCCAGAAACCGATTGTGACGTTGGCGACAATAACAAAGGCAAGGACACCACCCTCGATATAGTCGTTGATGGCGAAACTGAGAATCATAGCAAAGACGAGAACGAGCACCATGGCATTGAATAGCTGCTTGCTGAGAATGGTGTACCATGGCACCGACTCGCCGACTTCGAACTCATTGGGAGGGTACTTGTCCGAAGCCTGCTGGACTTGCTGCGAAGACAATCCCTTATCGGGGTCAACTCCGAGCGCCTGAGCGGTCTCTTGGACCGTCAGCAGGAAGGGGTGCTTTGGGTAGTCACCAGACATTGTGTCGTGTCTGAGCTGGCGACGTCGATGAGATGTAGGATGTTTCCATTCACGATCGAGGTGGTGGGTGGAAAGAAGTTTAAGTCGGCTGTAGCAGTTGAGACCGGAGGCAGGTGGTGGTGATGCCTCTCGAGGATGAGGTCAAAATGGATGGTTGGCTTGGTGACCCGGAAAGGCTTCTTCTTCCGCTGTGTGGCTGGAAAGAAAATTGAGGGGAAGCTGGTTGACCGGCAGATCTAGAGTTTGAGTCCACAAAGGTTGAGGGGGACAAGGCTACCTTTATAGACTGACAGCCGGAAGACTGGTAGACTTGAAAATGCGCAGGGTTTCGAAAAAGTTTGGAAGCTTGTGCCTCGTAACCCACAAGGTCATCAGCGTCAGACTGGGGAAGTGAAAGAAAGAGAGAGAAAAACCTGTGAAAGATGCCAAGGTCTGGGCATATGATAACACGCCCCCCGTCCTGGAGGGGCGTTTTCGTGATGGAAACATTGGCACGAGAGCTTGTAAAAGAAAAAAAGGTATTCGGTCATTGTGCCGACTGAAAGAGTGTGATTGGGCGCGAATGGTGTTACCAAGGCGGTAGACATGGAAGCTTGACTTGGCTGAACTTGGCGGGTGGTGAGCTTCTTGGCTTTTGGAGACCGTTCCAGTTTCCTGCGAGCTTTGGTTTGGAGTTGGAAAAGGCAGAAAAAGGACTGAGAGCGAAGACGGTCCGGTTGGGTGGTGGTCCTCGGGTGACGATGACCTTGGCGGAGCTCTTGGCGGGAAGCGGCGTGGACGGAAGTGGGGCACTCAGAGGAAGTGGGGTCCGGCGGTGGGGCACGGATTAAGGTAGGGAAAGAACAGGGGAAAGAAGGAACACTGGAGAAGGACCGGAGGGAGGCCCGGGGACATGTAATGCATTCAATGAGGTAGGTACTTGTCAAGTTAAGCACAATTTCTTGTTTCTGATAGTATGACAAATTCTTGATGCGAAATTGAAGATTTGCTTGCTTGTACGGGCCATTTGGGTGAACCGACCAACTGTGTGCAGGAAGATGATGTGCAGTTAAGCCTCTCCGCAGAAACACCAGGCAAAGCGCTACAATATAAATGGACCATGGCAGCTGCAAACAGATTGAAAGTTTCTACGGAGTAGTGCACACATATTTGAAAATTGAGTGTGACTCTGCAGCTCATACCTTACCTTTTTGACATGGAGGCAATGGAATGGAACGAACCCCATTGATGCCAGTGACGCCATTGGCCGCCGCACGGCGAATACAGTTATTCGATGCGATGAACCAATGGCAATTCTGGACTGTCCAATTGAGCATGTTGTGTGATTGGCTTGTCATCTCTTGGCCACTGGATTCCTTCTTTCTTGGCTCGTGGTTCAGCACTCTGGTGGCAGGAGTGGCAACTGGTTATAGCGGGTGGAGGTACCTTGCCAGCCAAGATGCACAGCCTTGGTACTTACGCGCCTCAGCGGACTTGCCGCGACTATCCGCTGTAGGGTGGTCGCAGGGGCACGAATCATGGCGCCTTGGCTGCCGCAAAAGCCCACAACGGCCACTGAGAGCCGCTGAAACTGAACGATGTGTGTCGCTGTTTGGCTGTTTGCGTTGCACCTTCCTGGCCACGCATAGGTACGAGTGGGAAGGTACCGCTGTATGCTCCAGCCAAATGGAACAACTCTCGGCCTCACCTCAACAGAAAAGATTCCGAAACAACGTGATCTTTTCAACAACGCTTCCTCCCAGATGCCGAACTTCCACTAGCACCCCAGAACGACATGCCAAACCTAGTCATCGTATATCTCCGAAAGCTGAGGCTGAGAGAGGCTCAACTCTGACTCTTCGCAAGGTTTGATATCACGTGTACCCTACGCGTCAGCTAACCAGTCTCTTTAGTATGGGAGATGCTTGCAACAAGGCCACGAGACCTTATCGAATCCATCCCCGAACCCAAAGAAAGCCGGAGCCATACGCTGGCTTCGCGTTCCGCCGGGCGGAGCGAGATGGCGAGACCGGATGGCAACACGGCACGCCACATTCAGTCACTTTTCGCCCAACTCCGACCGCTGCCAAGAATCCGACCTTTACCACACCAGTTCGCCCGCGCCATCAGTCATACGCTATCTTTCACACCATCTATCACCATCTCGCATATCAAAACGCCTAGCTAGGCAGAATTAGACGGTCGGATTAGGGGGGACCGAGGTTCGACGGCGTGCTGTCGACGCGGGCGATGTATGAAACATCTCCAACCTCCGGGCTACAATTGTCGGCGAACATCGCCGTGCCGCTCCGGAGATGGGCAGACGAAAAAGCAAGCCTATTCCGACTGCAAGCGAGGAATGCGATACCTACCCTCCCATTTCTGCAACCGCTGCAACCCTCCATCCACGTTGGAATGTGGGTTCTGGCAGTCCTGCCCAGCCTACATACCATTTATACCGAACCCTCTAGAAATAGACCCATCCTGATCAACCAGAAAGGCGACAGTGATTCAACCCTCGGCCTGCTCCCAATGCTTCGCGCGTATCTTACACCGTGGGCTGCAGTTGGGACCTAGCTACCCACCACTGCGACTCCGTTTGCGCCGGCTCTACTTGGCGGCCCTTGGCGGTTCTTGTCCTACGACAACGACGTTGGATCAGCTCCGACGTGGGATGACCGACACTGGACCCAGGCATTCTAGACCCCAGGAATCCCCATTGAACCCCATTATCCCACATTGCCTTCAATTGACCACTCACAGCCCCGAAGCTTGCAGCCCGCAATCCCGAAGACGCAGGCCCGCAGGCTCGCATAACCCAAACCTATCACACACAGACCAGAACGAGGGGACGAGAGACATTACATCGCACATGGAGGGGGCGCGTCGACGATCCAAGCGCGATGCTGATCCCTTCTGTCGGTTTTCCTCATATGTGCTGCCTGTCGCCCATCACCCCGCGCCCGGCGCCCGTATCTGCGTGCGTCCTATCCGAGATCAAATTGTCGCTCCTGGCGGCTGCTCCCCCTACTCATCCGAACTGTTTAAAACCAACGTCCTCGCCAACGCCGAGCTCAAGCTTCTAATTCTTGTCATTCTTGTTCACCAGGTGCAACCTCGAATGGTCTGACACGGTCATAATCTTCTCGGTGGAGCCGCCAAGCGCTTGGCTTCTCACGACCACGCAAGATGGTGTGGACCAGGCCAAGTGACGTAGGAGGTTCAACCCAGAATGTCCTTCCGTCCCCCCTTCAGCTTTTGGGTTCTTTCGTTCCACGCTCGCTCGGGCCAAAAACACCACTATTGAGTAGTCCTTCCTCGTGTGCTCTTGGCAACAAAACTTTGTCGCCAAGCCGTCGCCGTGGTCCCTGGAGTCGTCGAGCCCCCATCGCGTTCGTGTATGGCGTCGTGAAGAATCCAAATCATGCTCACTGACACTCTCCACGCCGTCACCTGGCACCATCGGCCATCGCCCCGAACCAGCCCCTCGGAACGGTCTAAGATGTGTTGCTATTGTCGGTCTACGGCTACACTACGCCACTTGTAGCGTGAGCTAGACCTTCCTTGGAGGAAACTACAGGACGCTCACACGTTTGCGGCAGCACACCTATCTAGCATAGCTGGGGTGAGACACCTGGCCGGTGGCCCCATGTTTCTCCAACACAAGCACACTGCAACAGCAGTCACTACACCAGCGACGTGCTCGCGATGATGATCAGAGTCGCTGCTACAGCCTGAGCCTCGAAATATCCGTCTGGCCCGTCTCACTCTTTATTTCGTCTCCAGATTGTTTCACGTAAAGCTTGAATTTTGCTTGTCCTGCCTCCTCCCATGAGCTTGTATTACGGCACTTTGCATGTACCCGCGTCTTGGATGATGGCATTGACTCCATTGTCAAGCGTCTGTCTGCCGGTCTCGCGGGGGTTGGGGCATGCAGAATGTCTACTTTGCCTTTAATACTTGGTCACGACACCGTCATCATACATACAACAACAGAGCCGGGTACCCGCCAACTCGCAACTCGGCCAGAGGATGGAGAATCTCTCAAAGTACCATCCAGGCTGCGTTGAGGGGTCCTTTGCTGCGCTGACGCCCTCCTCTCCACCTGTGACTTTGCCCAAGGCTTGGTAGTCTTGGGATGTTCTTGGCCTTGGCGAAGTTGACCAACGGCCAGATTCCAAGGTTATCAAACGGCTTTGCCAAGACTAGGCGATCAGCTGAATTTCAGCAAAAGGGTAAATGGATTTAGCTGTAGATCTACATGCTTGGTCCCATTGCGTTGCCACACCTTATCTGTCGGCAAGTTTCTGATGCTAGTCTTGTCATATTGCGAGATTGCCGATGGGTTCTGAAGCTTGTGAGCCATAGGCTTTGGGTTTAAGCCAAGAACCAGCCCAGATTTTTGATTAAGTAACAGTATCTGAGACTATTGGTCTGGCTATGTGGTACATGTTGACCGAAACAACTCGTCTGTATTGGTCATTGATCACTGCTGAGACTTCTTGGTTCGACGAGCGTCGAGACAACCTATCCAAGGCCCAGTAAGGCACCGCGATGGGTTGCAGTTGCCAGTTACTACTTATGAAGGCGTTACTCGAGGAGACAGATTCTGAAGTACAGTACCACTACTCACATGGTAAACATCGTACTTGTGAATATCTGCCTCACGGTGTAGTATGTCACAAAGGAAAAGTCGGTCAGTAAGGTAAAAGTTGTACAGCCAGCAAAACTATAAAAGATATTTGGACATACCTGGTAGTCATTTGATCTCATTTCTTCAAAAGAATACGTGCTTAGCCTCATAGAACAGTCGCAAGACATTTTCGAGTTCCCCAGTTCCAGCAGTGATCATGAGACTCTTAACCTCAGTTGCAATCTGGCTCACCATTGCTAGCATAGGGATCTGTAAGTTCAGCGCTCGATTCAGTTCTCGCCCACCCAAGCTCTACGTTTAAACATACTCACACATTATACCAGACGCTCAAGGGCTCTCCAAAGACACCGGATCAACCAACGAGCTGCGCGCCCTCTGCTCGGTACTCTGTCTGCCTCTCAAACTCGTCTTTCCGAACTGCGATACCCTCTGCCAGACATGCGAAAAGCCCAAGACGTTTTGCAAGACTGGTAAGACGGCTGAGTGTGTTGACCTGTCAACTGATGTCCGCAATTGCGGGAAGTGTGGGAACAAGGTCAGTTTTGTGGTCTTTTTGCCATCTTGTAGCCTGATATATGGTCTTGGGACTGATGTATTGATCCTTCGCTAGTGCGGCGACAAGGAAAGCTGCTGCAACTCGAAGTGCATCCCCTCGGCCAGCTTCCAGACTGATAGCAACAACTGTGGCAAGTGTGGTGTCAAGGTACGTTAATGCATCCCTCATATGTCTTCTTGTTCGATCACATGTGGTTGAGAGAGTCGTCCTAGAAGCTCCTCATTTGCTAAAACTTGATGCAACCCTCAGTGTGGTGACGGTCAAGCTTGCTGCGATTCTCAGTGTATAAGTACGATGCAGTTGCGAAGTGATGGCAAGAACTGCGGAACATGCGGTAGCAAGGTAAGTTACACTCGATGATGCACGTTCACTGGTTGGAGACAAGGGTCATAAACTGCTTTCGAAGTCTGATTTGACTATGCGATTAGTGTGGCCAGGGCACAGTTTGCTGTAACTCCGAGTGCCTGCCCAAAGACGCATTCCAGAGCGATCCCATGAACTGCGGCAAGTGTGGGAACAAGGTGAGACTTTTCGTTAACACAACACACTCTCTTCGATATGAGATGACTGAGCCGAGCATGGCCATAGTGCCCAGAAAACTTCAACTGCCACTCAGGCCATTGTCTCGAACCACACACCTGTAAAGCGGGCGTCTCCCTCCTCGAAAGCTGTCAAGATCCCATCGTCAGCGGATCAAGCTGTGGCGCCGGCGAAGACGATTTGTGTGATTGTATGGAGCCTGTCGAAGGGGACCCGTTTTGTGGCGCATTCGATGGGCAATATTGTCAGGACGTGTGTGACTCTGATAAAGACTGCCAGAATAGCAAGGGCAAGAAGTGTGCGAGAAGGGACAAGACTTGTTGTTCGGCGGTGGCTACTGATGGCAAGAGCCACAAGACGTTCCAGGGTGTGTGCTTTGAGGCTTGTGCAGGGAAACAAGAACTTCGACTGTTTTGACCTCTTCGGCTGCGGTTATGTGGAACTTTCGATGGTATAGTTTTCAGGCACGTAACAAAATTTGAGTCGTTGCACCAAGAGTGATCATCAGTAGCCCTTGCTGCTGATCTGACAATCATCACAATCTCTACCCGTCCCACGACCTACGTTGATTACGCAAAGATGATACCCGATCAGAAAGATATGAACCTTGACATCCATCGAAGAATGTCCAACGAAGAACCTAACAGCTGGGCTAAACCACTTAATAGCATCGTGGTCTAACTAAGACATCTCCGAAATGCCACCATTTAGATTTCACGGTTTCTGTCCTCCAGCCACAGCGTAAGCAGAATTCTTAAAACCTTCGACCTGACCGCTCTGCTTTCACGACCTCCCTTCCCATGTGAGTTTTCGGAGATAGCCTTGAGACTAGCATAACACCAGAGCTTTCTTCCTATCAATTCTTTATATCTCAGACTCTTGCTCATCTCTCAAATACCACTCTGAGCTTGACCTTCACCCATTACACCATATCCAAAAACGTACGTATTTTCCGTCTTCTCCTGCCTAACGTCCAACTACTAATCATCTCGAAGCATCAAGTAACTCCGATTACCATCATATTCCTGGCCCCGAAAGCAAACACAAAAATAAACGCACACACAACCGCAACAATGAAGCTCTCCACCGTCCTCGCCATCCTCCTCGCCCCCATGGCAGTCCTCGCCAAGCCCCCCAAACGCACTGCTGGACGCACCGTCAGAGTCGACAGACTGCCAACCTGCATCCAATACTGCTTGTTAGAAACCAAATGGCGCCTCAAAGGCGGTCTCCCAAAACTCGCCGGCGAATGGTGTAGGAAATCGGCGCCACCCCTTTCGCCTGAATGGGTCAAATTTGGCAAGGCCTTGGACATGTGTAAGAAGCATCAGTGCGATCATAGCCTCCACTGGATCGACATGGCCGCCTGGGACTATGAGATGTGCCGATTTGATGACAACATTAGGGAGGAGAGCATGAAATTCTTCAATGGCTATCGCAGGGCGTACTGGTGGCCTAATGAGCGTCAGCCTATCCGACCTCCACATTCGAGGAACTGGATTTCGGAGGAGACTTATGATGAACCCGATGAGTGGAAGGCGGATAATGGAATTGGGAACGGTGTGCCGGAGGATGAGGATCCTATATTCGGCGAGCCGGCTCCCAAAAAGCCTAGTCCTTTCTAAGGCTATGGGCACCTAAGAGAATAAGGCCTAGATGTGGACGTCTAGAAGCTTTTGCGTCAGTCTAACACCAAACAAGATGCCAAAGACTACCCATATGACATTCTCTCATCCATCATCGATCGCCTATTCGGTCTGGACCTAACACTACACGAAATAGGTAACCATTGAAGTGTATCAACCCTGCCATAAGCATTGTTTGGAAAACTACTTAGTTCTCAATAATTAAAAAATTTCAACCCATCTTGCTTGGAAACATCATGACGCAAAACCCGGCTCTTCTCCCATTGATTCTTTGAGCATGAAGTGCCACTCATAGATGTCTTACCTCACTACGGTTCCATGCCGGTGTAAGCCAAAAACATAATTGTAATACCGCATAGCTCAGATTCGGATCTGTAGCGTTTTTCAAACTCCGACATGGTTTGCGGACTTTCGACTAAACTCCCGCCCAGCAAGGCTTGAGATCTGAAGGTGGCTGTGGCCGTCGTAATCGGTCCAACTTTCACACGGAGTGTAGCCCGACGATAGAGAGGCGGGCTTGGCGGACTTTGAGGAATTTTGACATCGGAACATTCTTTCCGCAGATGCGTCTCCGAGTGTTAGAATGAAACTACCTGCTCTTGATCTTCTAGTGCGTTAAGAGCATTGTGTGAAATAGTTAACCGGCACCTCTCTCTACCTTCACAAGGCTGTGTCTTGCAGCCCTTTCCAAACATGTTAGGTACTGCTCTCTTCGTCGAAAGTGACGGACAAGTCACTACTTGACGAGATCTTCCTCGGGTCACAGCACGAGACAACGAAATTCTAATCGACGTGCTCTACTCGAGAGTCAACCTTGCGGATCTCAAGATAGTACACTTTCTCAACTACCGAAGCTCTGTCCCTGAAACCGACTTCTGCGGACAGATCCTAGACTGTTCCGCGCTTGTCAACTCCGAGTTCGAAGTCAGCGACATCGTGGCCGGGCAGACTGTTCCCCAAGGAGACCAATCCAAGGAGTACGGCTCTCATAAGCCGCGCCTCTCCACGCCCCAAAGTTGGCCTTTTCAAAGTCCCTGAGAATATAGCCCACTCCGACGCCGCAGCCATAACCACCGTCAGCCACACTGCCAGCGACGCGTTGTACAACAACTTCGAACTTCCCCTCCCAGGATCTAGCTCTCACGTAGTGGGGGGCACGCTAGTTGTATGAGGTGGAGGAACGGCCGTCGGCTTGTCCGCCATTCAGCTAGCCCGTACCAGCGGTATCACCAACATCATCACCACGGCATCTCCTTCCCGTCATGATCTTCTTCGAGGACTCGGTGCAACCGAATGTTTTGATTACAAGGACGCCAATGTCTCAGACAAGGTCAAACAATCAGTCATCAAAGCAGGCCGCTCTCGCGTCTGGGGATTCGAGACGTCGGGGTCGCCAGAGTCAAGTCAGCTGCTCCTCGATGCCCTTTACGGCATCGCCGGCGACGTTCAGTATTCCTGGGTCAACGCAGCGGGCGCGCAGCGTCCGCCAATAGAAGCTGTCCTCGGAACACGAGACTACGAAATTGTCTTTGAGGTCCCTGGCGATCGCCATGTCATTCCCGCAGAACCTGAGAAGGCCGCCAACATGTGGGCTGCTCTCGACTTGGCAGTGAAGAGTTACGGAAAGGATTTGAAGTCCCCGTCGTACGTGTGTTTGAGGGTACTGGAGAAGAGGCGCTGGAAGAGATGGCATCGGTGTCCAAGCAAGGAGCTTTCGGGAAGCTCGTCCTGAAGCAGCCCCTTCAGTGATCATGACGTTGGGGCTGATTACTTTCCAATGGAGAGTTTGAGCCGGTTGTGGAAGAAGCATCTCTTTCCAAAGACGTAGGCAAAGTGGAACTTCTAGATGTGAGTTGAAATACAAAATGGGTCCCGGAGGACGCCGGAGATAGGATTGTGATGCGCTGATTCTGAAAAGAGATAGTCATCACGGAGAGGTCGTTCATACTTATGTATCGAGACCAGAACATTCTGTGCAGACTTCGTACCTCATTCTTATCACATGATGCTTCAGGTCTTCTACTTCACTTGAACTTGGAAGTCGGATAGGGTACCCACTTTCCTCCGCTGTCCGTCCACCCTTCCTCCGCCGGTGCTCCGAAGCAACTCCGCTGTATTTCGTGATGTGTTTAGCGGCGTCATTAAGAGTCGGCCCCGACAAGAATTGCAAGGTTATTCCATCTCATAAGCTTATAACAATGCCGGACGGAGAAACTACCAGCGCACTCCAACAAAGTTCAGCCTCGGGGCACTCGGACCTTAAACTACCTTAGATCTAGAGCATTGAGATGACTTTTTCAATTCCAATCCAGTAACGTCACCAGGAGGTATCAAGTATAAATGGCGATCGAAAGTTCTCATTTTCGCCGTTGTAATTTCAATGCGTGACAAATTCAGGCCAATTTTAGTTGAAACTTGCGACTCTTCCAAACTCCAAGCTCTCCTGACTACCGCCTTCCGTTAAGTAACATCTCCAACATCATCTCTTCAAAATGATCCAGCAGTGGAGCCCAATGAACAATGTTCCCAGTCTGAAAGGAAAGATTGCCGTTGTTACGGGTGGAAAGTAGGTGAAGCAACTATCCTCAACTCATGTGATTATCTCGCCCGCGAGGCGGGTTCTGACAGGACACGGTCAATAGCAGCGATATAGGTCGCGAAATAGCGAGGCTTCTCGCACAGAAGAGCGCAAAAGTCTACTTCACCGCCCGCTCTGAAGCAAAAGCTATTGAGGCACGCAAGAAGATTCTGGACGCTCACCCTGATATCGACTCCGGAAATTTGCAGTGGATGACGATGGATCTCACCGATATCCGGAGTGTAACGTCTGCTGCCGAGAAGCTGAAGGAGAATGAGTCCAAGGTGGATATACTAGGTGAGTCTCACAACTAAATCTTGTCCTCAATTCCGCTTTCTACTTACACGCACATCATCCAGTCCATAATGCTGCCGCGGCAACAACCTCTACGGAACTTGTTGGGCCTGGTTGGGAGGTACACATGGCTACCAAGTATATATCTCTGCTTCAATCGGTCAAAAGCCATTATCATTACCTATACTGACTATTGCAGTTTCATTGGCCCCTTCCTTTTCACCAAGCGCTTGCTTCCCCTGCTGAAAAACGCCCTCCAGGACAAAGACGCCGACGTCCGAGTGATTACAATGAGCTCAAGTGCCCAAACAGCAATGGTCCCAAGCAGCTTCCAGTTCAACTTCACGTCTCCCGACTGTTTCCGTAACCCAATCCCGTCACCCCCATGGCAATGGCGCTATCTCGGCCGCTTCATATTCGGTTTCGATACGACCCGCTACGGCGTATCCAAAGCTGCTAATCTCATCTTCGCTCAAGAACTACAGAAGCGAATGGACGAGCAGAAGCTGTCGATTCTTTCCATTGCGGTACATCCCGGTGAGGTTGCCACCGAGGGGGTGTTCTCGATCAATCCGAGCTTGGTAAAGACAATTGCGCGCTGGACGTTCATTTCCCCAGAGCAGGGTGCTGTTACACCCGTCTTTGCAGCTGCCTCTCAGGAAGTCCGCCAGGATTCCTCCAAATACAAGGGCAAGTTTGTCTTTCCCGGTGGAAAGATTGGAAACCCGAATCCAGTCGCGTTGAATGAGGAACAAGTCACGGGTTTATGGCGCAACGCCACAGAGGAAGTGAATGCACAGCTTCATGCGCTTGGGCTGCCACGTCTTCAACCATGGTCCTAAGTAATCAGCTGTTGGAGTCTCGTGAAATACTATTCGTACTTTCTTAAAGCTCAAACACAGGTTCCATAGTCTACAGAAACACAATCTCCAGTGCTCACAACCCAATGATCTACTTTTTCCAATCCCCATAGAAGAGTAAACATCAGCCGCGCAAACTCATCTACCTCGGCAGCCCGAACCCCTCGTGCCACCAGAGACTGCCCTTTCAAGCTGTGAAGAAACAAGGGATCCTCTTTGCGCGCGGCGGCTTCCCAGCGGGCAGGCGATGAAGCCTCCCAGAGCTCCCCGCGTAGAGTAATGCAGACGTCACCGGCACAGTCGTGGGTCCAAGTCTCCTTTAGGCTTGTATATACACCGGTAGCCATACTCGTGAGTAGAAACGTACGACGGATGGACTCTGAGAGAATAAAGGCTTGATACAGACTCGTAACCACGTCCGTTTCCACGGACTGACTCATACATGACCTCGACATCATGGGCGATGTCGTTGCATCTAGTGCTGCGGACCCCCATAGTTGACGAGCCCAGAGACGCAGGGTATCTATCAAGTTCTCCGCTTTGCTCCTCCGAGGTATCGAAGGTGAGAAGAGACACAAGAGCAAGTGGATCAAAAGAGCCTGTGTGCGTGCTAGGTGTTCCCTCGTCGAGAGGAGCGGGAGAAACGATGCTTCCTCTGCGGAGTTGGCGGCTAAGAGCGTCATGATGTAATTAGACGACACCGCGTCAACGACGTGCTCGTTATCTGGGGTGATTGTCTGCGCTATAGCAATGGCTGCGTATGCGTCCTGGATACACTGTGGCATAGTCGTCTCGGAGTAAAGGTGCTGATGGATGAAGGGATTGTACCCCTTGTGAAGGAAGCGGACGAGCCACGATTGCAAACCACGGACGAAATTGGTAAAAGCCGCGGCTGGCGGAATTGACACTGGGGCTTGGCGCTGGTAGTCGATGGCCCAGGACGTCGATTGGAGGAACCAATTCAACCCTTCTGCACTAGGATCCACCGGTCGCGAAGCGCAATCGGAGTCAGCCTGTGTTGTAGCGGAGGAGGAAGACGCCGCGGTTGTCATCGTCATTGCGGCGGTACCGGCCGGCCCAGGTGCGGATGCCGGAGCAAAAAGGGCGTCGTCCAGCACGACCCCGATATCACCGATGCCGCTCCCCGGCCACGAGGCTTCAATGTCCCATCCGGTTTCCAATCTCGAACTGACATGGCTTGATATCGGCGCCTGTCTAGTTCGCCGGACAGACGCATACGTGCAACTGACTTCCTTGTCCAGACACCGCGAGCAGGCTGGAAGAGTCTGATCGCAGCGCCTCTTTGCCTCCACACAAGCGAAGCAGGACTTTTGTTTCGATCTGCGGGCCATGATGAGTTGACGGGGGTTTCTTTCGAACTAGACAGTATACTTGTTGCTGATGATTGATAGAAAGAGAGATTTGAGAGTCCGAAAACAAGGTTTGGCTAGGAGAGGCAAGTCAGACGCGGAGAAATGGCGGAGTTGGCTGCGGAGATCAAACTCCTATTTCATATCGCGTGCCCACGGGCCAACGAGGCGCGCGGCCTGACTATTTTGTAGAAATTACCTTTCTAGCAACTGAGCGCATTTGATAGTCGAGTAGTTACCCTCGAACTCTATGAGTCAGTGATAAGTTGACGTCGTCGTTGAGGGGTTTTTGCCTTAGCAGAAAACAAAAACCTGAATGAGGAAACATTGAAACTTTCCGACGCTAAAGACAACGAACAAAACAATGACAAAACATAGATGGCATCATTTGATTCTCTTAATATCCGCGTATCAACGATCTCAGTCCGATCTCAGACTTCAAATACAAACATCTCTTCACCCCGCTTCACTCTCCACGAATTCGTAGCCTCCAGCAGTTCCGGACACCCCTTTACCAAGAATCCCCATTTCTTAAAAAATTTCGCGTTAGCTTCCCACGCCTTCCAGTCCCAGGGCTCGCCCCATACGATCAGCGAAGGCTTATCGTTTAGATCCTCGTCCTTGACCTCCAATATATCAGCGCACAAGTCGTCGTCGTCCAAGCTTCCCCCGGCAATCCCGAGAAGAACGTTATCCCGGAGTCGGGGAAAAGGGAAAAGGTCGATCCAGGGATGATGGAGGACGATCCTTTGTAATGGTGTGGGCTGTAGGGCTGGACTGGCTATGCGTGATTGAGAGAGGACCAGGGGGCCGTTGGAGTTGTATGGTGAGATGTAGTCTGCTCGGCATAGGCCTTCGGGAGGAAACCCCATGCAGAAGGCATTGTGAGCGAGCGCGGCGAGGACTCTTAGCCGTACGAGTGTATGCAAAGCTTTTGGCCGGGGAGCGCGGAGGGAGTAGTCTTCGTACACCTGTTGGATGCGTGTTCGAGCTAAAGCTTGTCGTCGAGGACACCTGATGAGCTCACACCCTGCCGATAGCGTAGTCAATATGCTCTCGTCGGTTAAAGCTGTCCCTCCTCGATTAGTCGCTTCATGCTGTTTGGTCACTATTTCTTTGACCGTTGTGCAGATCACGCCCTGGCCTTCTCCTGGGCTTGATGATGTCTGGTCGCCCTTCCTGCCATGTCTTCTACCTGCAAAAGGTGAGCTCACTGGAATATGGAATCCTTCCAGGGCATGACTGACGATAGGCGCGCTGATTAAGCTTGTTTTGCAACTTCTTTCTACGCGCTTGGTCAGATATGCCGGTCCAATTATCGCTGGGCTCCCAAACGTCGCAGAGCATCACGGTTGCGCGATTGATTTTGAAAAAGGCACGGCTGAGTCTATAGCAGTATGAATTGTTTTGCGCAAGTCTGAGCAGTTCTCGGAGGTTGGAATACTGGCAATTACTTTGGCAAGGATTTCGAAGATGGGGTTGTAATGTTGAGAAGTGGAAGTTGATGCTTGAGTGGAATGCCGGCGTCTAGAGTTTAGAGTTTCTACTTGTGGGGCCTAAGTCCGGCGCCCGAGTGCCCCGCGGGCTACGGTTGCGATGACTTCATAAGGTACATGTAAGTGTACGTTGCCGAAGTAGCTGCTGGGCCCATCCATTTTGTGTCTACCTAAATAGCACAGCAGTCTTCGCGTGGTTATAAATTCCAGTCTCTACAGATAAAGTAAGTGTTAAATCCGCATTTAAGCATTAGCCATGTCTACTAAGTAACACCATTCCGCCGAAAACCTGCCTGTCCTGGCTAGAACATGGGAGCGAAGTCTCCAAAAACCCAAGGTAGTTGCTGGTGCACCATCAGACTGACTCAGAAGGCGGCCCAGTATTTAGAACACTGCCCTTTCATCCAAAGTCGCCAGCTGTCACCCCAACTTTTTCAGGTGATTCCAGGCAGTGATTCTCAACTATTTGGACGATGCTGCCAAGCAACTTGCCTCACCTTATTAAGGGTATACTCGCCTAGGTATGATGAACGATTGAAGGTTGATGTACTAGGGCCTCAAAGCCCCTTACTGCCTGCCCTACAGCAGGGCTGAGCAGACGATCTGCTCATCATCAAAGGGGCTGAACCGTAAGCAGACTGGCAGATCAAATCCTACTATATGTCTTGGTATATATTGGCGCTTACTATTGGATCTCAGTAGAAACCCAAGCGACCCCAGCACCGTCATGCCTGGTGTGAATAGCGCACTCGCACTCGCTTAACAAGTAAAATGGGTCCCCGTGAGCGGCCTCCCAGACGTGAGCCGGGGGGCATCGCGGATCTACCCCGAAGATCCACCCCGATGTTAGCTTATATGATCGTAGGCATCGTATTTACAAAAGAAAGTTGACTACTTCAAAGATAATAAACCTCTACTCGACTACCTAATCTTCCGCGTCGAATGGTATCACTGTTATTCTCCTCCTGTTACACAAAATCAACCTCACGGCGCCTCGATACCAATTAATAGGAACAATGACACGACCCTTCCGCTACCGCGACGGCGTAGCAATCGCCCAAATCATCGTCTTCCTCCTCTACCTGTCCTTCGGCATCCTCTTCTGCATCCAAAAGAGAATGGGCTGGTTCGGCATCTCCTTCATCTCCACCATCCGCATCGTTGGCGCCAGCTGCATGCTAGGCACACTCGCAAACTCGTCGCGCATAGTCTGGGCCGCCATATTCGTCTGCGAGTCCTTGGGTCTCGTCTTCTTGACGTTTGTGTTGCTTGATCTACTCAAGAGGGTGTAAGCTCCTCCCATCATCTTGAGCCAACTGCCTTTCCAGACAGGGCATGAGTGCTAACAGATCAACCACGCACAGCAACTCCTTCACCCAGGTCCTTACACCATGGCACTTCCGCATCCCCGAACTCATCTGCTACGCCGGCCTAGGCATCTCCATCGCAGACTACATTCTCGCCGCCAAAAGAACATCCAACGCCATGGCTCCAGGCGCGCTCACAAAAGCAGGAGTAGGCCTCTTTGCGGCGCTCTATTTCTGGGGCGTCCTCCTCTTCGCCCTCCTAGCTAAAGAGTGGAAGCGGATACCCCAAGCGGAGAGGCGCGCCATGATTGGCTTCACGGGGTGTTTCCCATTCATGGTGGTTCGGATCTCGTATACGATTGCGTATGTTAGTACCGGGGAAAAGAGGTTTAGTGCGGTGAGTGGGGATACGACGATTTATTTGTTCATGACGGTGTTGATGGAGTTTGCGGTGTTGGGGTGGGTGGTGTGGACTATTTGGGGGTTGGATAGGGTGTATGAGCAGGTGGAGGGGTCGCGTGGGAAAGATGCTGGTGAGATGGAGGATCTTGTTGAGTCTGAAGGGCAGAGGTCTAGGCGGGCGGAGAGTTGATAGTCAGTAGCTCCATGCAGACTTTAAATGTTCGAAGTCGTCGAATACACAAGATCACAATCAATGTTTTGGCGGATAGTCAGTCATCCATAAGCATGATGATGTCGGATATCGCAACAGTATATTCACATGGGATGGCCATGGGCAAGCAGGCAATGTCCAAGATCACTAGCAAGTCAGTCGGTCCTTTTGAATACCTAGCTACATCGAACGCCAGTTGCCAGTGATTAAGAAGTAAAAACTAAAGACCTCTTACCTAGGCCAGATCTTGTGCAAATATGCTACCCTATATCAAGGGTCTTGATACCTTTTTAATTTCAGGCCACGCTCTTAGATTTATTGAAGATGCCTCACATCTTGACGCGGAACAAGTAGCGGAGGCGGACTTGGGCAAGATCATAGGCAATGTACTCGTTGTACTGAAGGTATGCGCCTGGAACATTGGTCGGGCCTGGCTTGGTGCTCACATCGGGCTGCGAAATCGTTAGTAAAGGATCGTTGCGCAATTGGAGTGCTGTTTGTACTCACCATCTGGATACCCTTGAGGTCCGGGTTGACACAGCTAGCATCCTTCCACTTGCTCGGTCCGGTGTTACCCTGGCCCCAAGTGGACCACATACCGCCCGCCTTTGCATCATCGCCCGCGTTATAGCTCGCATTAGTGAGCTTCTGCATCGGGTCTCCAAGCTCGGCCTCGCAAAGCAACAGCAACGCTTGGCCTCCTGAGTTATAGGAGGCGCAGTAGTTTGCTGACTTGCTTGACATATCTGCAAGGTAGATTCCCTTGCCAAACATGTAGCCCGAAACGGGGGCTTCAGGAGGGGCGATTCGGAGACCCTGGCTGAGGATACCACCATAGTTGGTGACTCGGGAGCCATGCCACAGCAATCTGCGGTCGGACTTGATGGAAGAGAACTCGCTCTTCTCGAAGCGTTCCATCTCGCCCTGTCGTTCAATCCGGAAGATGTCCTCAACCTTGTAGGTGTGACCGTGGGTAGAGCCTTTGGACCCGTTCAGGTACTCGGCAAGGAGGGTGAACTCTGGGCTCTTGCGGTCAAGGGGAGTCATCTCCTCCATTCCGAGACCCTGGTACTGTCTGTCGGCGGCGTGGACATCGGCGTTCTTGCGATCAACCTTCATAAGGTCCGCCGCGACCTTCATGTCGGACAAACTGTCGAGTAAGTCGACTTCCTTCTTTAGCATAGCACCAGAGCTAATGACGGGCGGACGGTTGCGACCGAAGGCGTGGGGAATGAGCGAGTAGTACGAGTTGGATAAGTGCTCAGTCGCAGCCGGGACAGACATGTGGTATTCGGAGTCGGCAAGCGTGCTGTCGTTGAACAGAGCGGCCAAGTCTTTGAGCACCTGGAAACCTCTCAGAATCGTATTCTTGCTGAGCTTTCCGAGGGGCAGCTTGTTGGCATCGTAGTTCATGGAGGTCATGGCCTCGCGGAAGTACTGCTGATTGAAGATGAGGCCCATCAGGTCCTGTACTGGTTGAGGAAGGGATGATTTGACTGGGTCTGCCATGTCGTCGTCGCTATCGTCCTCTTCCTTCTTGACGTCGCCGGGCGCCCCCTCGTCGTCGTCCTCGTCGTCATCCGAATCTGGCTCGTAGCTGCGTTCTACGAAGGCATACTTGCCAGGCTTAGGAGGATCTGCGCGCTTAGCCCAGGCAATGCCGCTCTTGTCTCTGAACTTTTTCTCGTAGTTCTTCAACGCGTCGTCGAGGCTACCGTTGCCGAGGACGGCAGACTGGCCAAATTCTCCGACTCTGCCCCAGCGGGTCCACGTTTTGAATGTTTTGCCATCTTGGACAAGCTGTGTAAATTGTTAGATGGCAGCTTCGACTCGAAACATCAATTGGCGTGCACATACCTGAACACGATAGAACTTATTGTTGTTATTCGAGGCATTTGTTTGGTTCAGAGATGCGTCGTAGATGACACCGTCGGGTGCAATGTAGACAGTTCCCTGGACCTTGCAGCCCTCGTCAAGAGGAACCACGATTCCTTTGGAGGCGGTCTGGGCGTCACTGCTTGCAGCCTTCTTCTTCACGTCGGTCTTGTCGTCAGCATCGTCGGCTGCGGCAGCAGAATCAGCGGTCTTTTTCTTGCCCTTGGCACCGGCGGCAGCCTTCTGCTTCTTCGTGTCGGGTTTGGTATCGACATCACTGTCATTGTCAGACTGAGCATCTGCCTTGGCGCGCTTCTTGCCGGCGCCACTGGCCTTGGTGGCAGTGCTGGCTTGAGACTGTGACTGCGAGCCGTTCTGCTGAGAGCCGTTGGACTGCGCTGAAGCTCCATTCTTCTTTGTGGATCCGTTGGTGGCTGCAGCCGGGGCGGCCTTTGCCTTGGTCGTTGCGGTTTTGCCAGGCTCAAAGCCGCTCTCTGCGGCCTTGGACCCCTGAGACTCACACTTCTCGGCCCAGTCAAGGGTCACGATGAAGATGCCATTCTTCTGGGCGGAAGCGACCTTTGTAGTGACAGCCTTGAATTCCTCGAGCGTTGTGATGAGATGGGTAGTCTTCTTGGTAATTGACTTGGCGATGCCTGCACCAAGGGAGGAGAGCCACGACTCAAGGTCCGCTCTCTTCTTGTCAAAGGTGCCACTGATGGCGATGACAGAGCCGGCCAATGGCTGGGCCGCAGGGATCGTCGGGGCAGCGCTTGTAGCTGTTGCAGCTGATCTCCCCGATCTCCTTGGAGCGGACATTGTGGGCGGGATGTGGAGGTTGTGCGGCTACGGATACAGGGGGCTTGAGTAAGGGAAACAAAGCTTCGAACGTACGACAGGGGGGCGTCCGTGTTGAGTGACCGAGATGGCGGCTGGGAGATGAAAAAGAAGTGAAGATGGAAGGCGAAAAGATGAAAGGGAGTCGAGATGATTTATTTCATCGTGTCTCCTTTGACTCTGGATCAGAAAAACATGTCAGCTCATTGCCAATTGGAGTTACCCTTGGGACCTTGGGTGCTAGCTGGGGGAAGGTGCCGCACGCTTTCAGCTCCTTCTGGTTGAACCAACATGGTCCTGCAGGCACCAACGCCGCTGGTGCCTGGCGCACGAGCCACCGCGACAGCTCGAGGACCTCGCGAGTTCACGTGCCGTCTCAACATCAAGGTACCTAACTACCTACCCGTGGTACCGTGGCACCGTGGTCCGTACCTCACTGGCAGAACACCATACCACCTCAATTGAGGTCAGGTACTTGGGCAAGGTACTTGATGATGTAACCCCCTTGCGATGCTCTTCAGTTTTAGAGGAGCTCCTGCCTGGAGAAAGTGCTTGGCTTCAAATTGCAGTATACCTCAAGTCTGCCATCTGAGGTACCTGAATCGCTTCATGCTCATTCATTTTGCAACCCTGATTGACTTCCTTGGGCGGGCCAGCTGCCTAGAGATGTACACGGTGGACCCTTCCAACTCAATTCCAGGCCCTTCATCGCATTACACCACGAGAAGCAGTTACATGGCCAACATCACCGTACGCAAATCTCAGAATGCTCGATTCAATGGCTGGACGTTCCTTTCAGCCATCAAATTTCACCAGTTGCCCCAAAGAATGTAAATTATGGGAAGAGTCGGACTGGAATACGGCCTGGGCCTGATTGTGTTCTATATCCCGCTCATCTACTGGAACATCATCTGATGAAAGCCTTGCTCGTGGGCTATCGCGTCTGCGTAGTCATCCAGCGTTTCCTCAATCTCGTCTGGTAAGTAGCCTTCTGCAATAATGTCTTCTGGGTCGGGTATCACGTCGTTAGCCGTTATGTAGTGTTCACTTCTCGCCAGCTCCGTCGTCCTATGCTTCTGCCTCCGAAGTATTTCCTACGTCGACTGGACCGCAGGGCTCGGATAAAGGTGTTTCCCATGGGCTGAAAAAGACCGCAGTAGGTGTTCACTAACCTTGGATCGCGTCAAACATGTCTTCGTCCAAGTCGTCGTCGATGCCGTCGTCCATGTCTTCTTCATCTTCGTCGTCTGAGTCTGAGCTGCGCTCATACTCGGGAGGGATATCCACCATGACTTGCTTGGCCAATTCTCCCACAAAATGCCTCCAGTCGATGCCTGTGTACTCGCGTCTGCCCACGGACTTGTCAGGCACCCCATCTGTGACTTGAACCCATACTCTGGCACTCGTCATAGACATGCGCTGAGCAGGACAGCCGACCATGATGTGATTCAGATCGAGGTTGGGAACGTCACGCAGACTCTGAAGGAATCGGGCCCACATGTTGACAATGGAGATATTACTTCTCGTGTCGTAATCACCAGAAATGGCTCCTGTACGGGACCGGAGCGTTACCTTCCACAGCTCTAGATTCCTGAGTGTCGGTGCAAACTTTTGCACGACTTGGAGAAGCCGCCGCGGTTCAACTTCTACGAAGCCCAAGTTGATCTCTTCGAGGTGAGAAAATGCCACCGGAGCTGGAGGCGTTGGTAGCTGGTTGTCGTCGGGTTCAGAGGGAGGGTTGAGGGCAGGTGTGCCCAGCCAGTCAATGAATTCATCGACAGCATCCGTGTTGTGGCCTGGGTGTGCGAAGTTTGTCCGCAAATGCTTCAGATTAGGCATGTAACCTAAGAAGAGGCGCAGGAGATAGTCGTATCGACGCCGTTCGGAAGAGCCCGTGCTGCCTGTGAGTGAAGTGACTCGGAAGGGACCAGTTGCTACGTTTAAAACGCAGATGAAGGTCTCGAGACCCTCAAGAACGGGGACAACCTTGGGCTTGAGGTACTTGGTGAAGAGGTTGAAAGCATCGTCGGATGGCACCCCTTGCTGGTGGCGGAGCAGTTCGAAGGCACTGGGGCGGGCACCAGCATTGCCAAGTGCGGTGAAAAGGGTGACAAAGACTTTGTTGGTGTAGGTGACCATCTCATCAACAGGTATACGGAGAAGATTCACCCCAGTCTCCCGCTGGAGCGTGGTGGCGCCGTAACTCGTCCAGTCGACGCTGAAGCCATCCCGAAAGTTCCGTCCACTAGAGTGGTAGTCACGAATGC